TTACAACTACTACAACTACCGCCGCTGCTACTACTAGCAGTCGTGCATCTTATCGATGAAACACGACTGGGTTTAGAATAACATTCACAATCAATGGGAAAAATGTAATACTTCTGTTTGACAGTTCTGTTAGCGTTTCAAAAGGCTACATTCCGTAGACCATCTTGGTAAATTACGCGAGTGCTTTTCCGTAGGGGTTAAACAGCGTAATGGTGGTATAGAATTCGCAGCCGAGCGTCACCGACTGACCTCGGCTGCCCGGGAATTATCGTCCCGCTGGCACCAAGCTATGATGAAAGTAATGTCACGGTTGAATAAGATGCCTAGATCCGTTGTTTCATCTGCGAATGCTGGTAAGAATGCTTTAGGGTGGCATGCCTGACGAGAATGCACCCCTCAGTTTTTGGGTGGGACTTCTGCCGAATGGACAGAGTAAGGAAAGAATCGGTTCTTGAGTTGAAACCTACAGGGGTAATGAGGCCCTGACAAAGTTCAGCCCGATGTGGAACTGTTAAAACTTGCCAACCTGGGATGCAGCCGGTCTAAATCCCTCGTGAACAAAGAGAAGACAAAGGGTGAACGCGTCCGCAATGCGAAAGGTCTCACCTGAATGTAATTCTCATAGGACTTGGGCAGTGAGTAGTGTATGACTGCCTGTAGGTTCCTCTTATTCAGTCCCATCCCGAAGGCCGTCGTGGCGACCAGAACGCGGACACGACCGTTCATAAACTTCTTTTGTGTGCGCAACCGTTCTGTGGAGGAAAGGCCGGCGTGGTAGACGGCAGTGGTCCAGCCAACCGAACGTCTACCAATCTGTGCAACAAGAAACGTAGCGTTAGATGTGCAGATGAGGCATTACGAGGGAACAGCAGTGCCAAAACCACCCTAATACAAAAAAAAATTTTTCTGTGGTACGGTAGGTTCCATCACCCTATGCGAACTTTTTGTCCAAATATGGATAAAACAACTAGAACCTGGCGTTGGTTATGGCTGGCTGGTGATGGCCAGTAAGTCGAAAATGGCCATTCCAGTCTCCCTTGTCTTTGTTGGCAATTTCTTTCTGTCTGCAATATACTAGCCGCTGAGCGGCTACTGGTGGGAATTGAGCCCCAAGACACAATGGGAAGAGTGTGTTCCATAATGCGATCGATGAGCGCCCCACTATCATTGTTAATACGCCCGATCGTAGCTGAGAGGACAACGGGTTCGTGGCTCAACAGTCAGTGTGTTAGACTTGTAAGCAATCGGTCATCGGTTCGAGCCTCTGGTGTTGCAACACCTAGAGCTGCGTATGGCTGGCTGATGGCGGCTAATAGTTCGACCGTCGGTTTCGACTATGTCCACCAAGTGCCACACATCAGGCTGGAAGCAAACATGTTGACTTGCGTGCGTATAAGGTTGTAGTAGAGCAGACTTGTGCAGCATCTACTGCACTCTCCTCCATTCCCCACCTGGGTCCAGTGTCATAACTTAGTCCAGAAGACCGGGGGCAGGAGAGAGTGAAGGCGGCTGGAGCCGCCCCTAGAGCTGCCGCCAGTACCGGCTCGAATCCAATGGAGTGT